ATATAACATTATTTTAGGCATGGAGTTTCCAATGGAAAATTGGGATAATGTTTTGATTATTTCATGTAAGAATGTCTCAATTATGTACCAAAGAAGATTTTTTAGCTGATTTACCAATGTATCCATTGTTATTTTGGGTCTAAATTTTGCTCATTACATACATGTATAATTCATGATATTGTAATTGTCTAATTAGCATAAGGTATAGTGTAAGATTGTTATAATTGTCAAACTATTCTTCAGTATTGGAGGCTAAATAAATAAATAAAAAGATAATCAATTCTTATTAATGTGTAGCCAATGGCAAAAAGTCCAACTGATTATCTGGTCAAGTGAATATTGAACCAAGTGGTTATCGGTTTGTTTTAATTAGGAATTTAGAACTGTCTGCCTTTTATCCATCCAGTCCTTCCAATTATTATCCATTGAGTAAACAAAGTAGCTTTTGTCTAGCTTAAGAATATGAATTTTTGCGAAATTGAATTTTTATTTAAACATCAATTTTTTTGAGTTCATTGCCAACCAAACAAAAATAAAAGAAACATATTTTTATAATTTCATTTAATGTTAGATTTTATTTAGCTGTCCAAAGTTAATTACCAGAATTCGAGATTTTTCATTAGCAGATTTCCGCAATTTAATCAATAGTTTATACTAATTAGTTGTAATTAAAGAATATCACCAACATATTTTATCATCGTGTAGAAAGTCCAATCTAAAATCTGGTAAATGTGTTGCATTTATTGAAGCAATAACATTGTAATACCACTGTAAAACTATAATTAAAATGTTTGATATCAAATTCGATTGTCGGGAATAAGAAATACACATCAATACGTTTACATAATATCCAGTGTATTGAAATAAGATGTTGTAAAAAAAGGCAATTGAAAAACTGCATCTCAGTGAAACTAGTAGTGAAACTCCCTAAATCTGTTAAAGGGAAGTCTTCATTTAAGCACTGACGTTTAAAGGAGGGCGAGTTGTTTGTAGAATGAATCGGGGGATTTTTTTCATGAATTTCGCTTATGTTTTTCATCCAAAAAACATCAATACACTTTAAAACATTTTGTTTACTTTAAGATTACACCATGTAATCCAAAAATATATTTCTCATTTTCAAAGATAATCCATGGATTAACACCCAGGTATTTTTATTTTTCAATCTTCAGAGGGCTGGGAATCAATGATGCTCAACGCTTTTGAATACGATAATTGCTGTTTTAAATAGGTTTTACGTATGCCAATAATTTCTCAAATTATGTAAGCTGAATGCATTCCTTAATCCCTAGAATGCCTATCATAATAACATTCTTTTGTCTTGGCCACTTAATATTTATTTATTTATTCAGAACTACGCTTTTGTATCAGCGGCACACTTTCAAAGGTGCGTCTTTACAATAAAACATAATATATCTAAAACTGAGTCTTAAGAATCTCTAAGATTGCACTAAAACTTTAATGGTTAAAATAGGTTTCCTATGCGACTAAAATACTAAATAACTAATACATCTTAAGTAAAAACATTTTAGATACTGTGTCAAATGTTGAACCTAAATCTTGTCCCCCAAGTCTAAAAGCCTCATCACCTAGAATCCATTGAAGTTTATGTTCAGGTGAAGACGCGAAGAATGTTTCACTCAGGGCAGATGGAATTTTGTTTTCAATTGTTTTGAAGAACACATTACGCTGGTCATTATAGTGAGGACAGAGTAGAAGTCTATGTTCTACCGTTTCAATCATATTTGTACAAAAATTGCAATTGGGGTCCGAAAGTTTATTTTTCCATCTACATGTTTCACTTTTTAATTGGAACTTTCCTAATCTCGCAAGGAACTTTATCCTTGCACCCTGGAAGTCATAGTCATATCTAAGGTAGTTTTGAAGTCCCTTTCTGGTGGAAAGCGTACTATAAAAGGATAAGGATGATTTTTGATCAATTTCATTCTTAGTATAGGATTTACATTCTTCCCTTATCCTATTATCGTATTCATTAATCATTTCATCAGAATCATAACTTATGCCATCGAAACCGATGGAGGACAGAATGTCATCCATTTGTTCAATGTATTTCCAGCTATTGGTTTTATTATTTTTAAGTCTATGTGACAAAGCTGCGATGAGGTTGCTTATAAGAGAATTCTCACTTTTGCCTAAAAGATGAAAAAAGTATTCAACTTGTCGTTTCAGCACAATAAAATGTATAGGAGTCCATCCTAGCTCGTTTATAGCGCCAATATATGCCGGAGTGCTTTTGATATTGAAAATTGCTCGCGCTATGTTATATTGCATCGACTGAAGTTTATTTCTGATCACTTTTGTATCTGTAACCCATACACCACACCCATGTAAGATGCTTGGTAGAAATTTACTTGTATATAACGTGTTCCCAAAATCAATCCTCTTAGCATTGAGATGTTTACTAAGGGTATATGAAATATGGTTTTTCAGCTTGACCGCATTTGGCGCAAGTTTGTCAATGATGTGACAAGAATCTTTTAAGGACCTATCAATAAAAATTCCTAGGTATTTATATGTTTGAACCTCATTTAATTTTAGATCTCCCAAAGACCAGAGTTTAAGTTTATCAATTTTCTTACCAACGACCATAATTTTGGATTTTTTCTCACTAAATCGAAACCCCCATTTAATTGCGAACTTATTTGCAACTTGTAACATAGATTTCAAGTCATTTTCAGATTGACCGAGAAGGACAATGTCATCAGCCCACATCAAACTTGGGAATTTTTGGTCATTAAATGAGATCCCAACATTTGCTTTTAAAAGTTCGTCTTGGAGATCTGTCATTACAATTGAAAACAGTGTTGTGGAAAGAGTACAACCCTGCTTTACACCACAAGTTGTGGTGAACCATGAATCTCCAATGTATCCATTATTTAACTTTACTTTGTTCTTTATGTTTTTATACATCTCTCTCAACAATCGCCATGCTTTGCCTCTAACGCCTTTTTCCCAAAGTTTAATAAACAAAAGGTCGCGATCCATGACGTCAAACGCCTTGGAAATATCAAGGAATGCAAGGAAGGTTTTTTCATTCTTGTCTTTTCTAAGGCTGCATAATGCTTTCAATTTAAAAACATGGTTTTCAAGACGCTGATTTTTCCTATATGCTCCTTGGAAATCTCCAAACACATTTTTGCTTTCGAAAAAGGACATAAGATGAGTATTTACTAAAGAACAAAAAAGTTTGTAAACATTTGAAGTAATAGTGATTCCTCTAAAATTGTCAAGTGATTCATTAACTCCGCCTTTATGAAGGGGTTTTAAAATGCCTTCCTTCCATTGGGATGGATATGTTTCATGTGTTTTACATATTTTAAAAATATCTAGGAGTGTTCTAATCATTGATGTACCTCCATACTTAATGAATTCATAGGGTATCATATCGGTCCCTACTGCTTTACCATTTGGGAGTCGTTTTATATGTGAGACTAAAGTTTCGGAATCAAAGATGAGTTGATCAATGATATCAAAGTCGAAATGGCTGGAATGCGGATCATTTAGCTTGTTTTCAATATTGTCAAGCTTCTCAGCATGTTTTGAAATTTCAATCTCTGGTGATTGTGGGTTGCGATTTTTGGGGCCAACATTAGCCCAGTAGTCATTCATTATTTCAGCAACTCTTTTTGGGTCATCAATAATTATGTCCGGGTATTCGGGGTGTTGTACTTTTATGGGGGTATCATTTTGTTGATTAAACATATTAAGAGTTCGCCAATAAGATCTTGAGCTTGATGATTTTTTAGAAGCATTTTTAGTAAGAACCTTTATGTGTTTTCTCACCATCTTTTCTTTAATATATTGCCGGACTCGGTCTTTCCTTTCAATATAAATTTTCCAAATATCGTCAAAACAATCGAGATCGGAGAGGCCAGAGGCTCGCCAGTACCTACAAAACTGGTTAGCTTCCTTACGACTCTGGATGAGCTTTTTTAGTTCTTTATCCCAAAAGGATCTATGGTTTAGTGATATGTTCATGTGACCAATCGTGTTATTCCCTGTATTAATGACTTTATCCCTCCAACAGACCCACATTTCTTCAGGGGTTGCAAAAACCGTGGGGTTCCAGTCTGCAAAATCATCATTTAAAGCAGACTTAAAAAGTTTCCAATTTGTTTTATCATTCATTTTCCAAAGGCATGCATCGGGACTGGTTTTGTTAATATGTTTCAAAACTGGCTTACATGAGTTTGTCCTAGATTTTTTTACATCAAAATCCGTCATAATCATGCAGTGGTCGCTTCCAATTGAAAAATTACCTTCCTCATCAATTATCATAGAGGAAAGCTTATCATAAAGGGCTTGGTTACATAACAAATAATCAATTGTTGATGTTATATTTCCTCGAAACCATGTATATGAACCATTACACTTACTTGACAAATTTAGAACCTGCATGTTTGTGACTTCACATAATGTTTCAACCATTTCACCATTAGGACTAGGGGAGTCATTTTTATTGAATTTGTTTAGCTTGCCATTGAAATCACCCATTAATAGCACAAAATCACCAGTATTTTCTAGAGTTGCAATATTTGAGATTAATTCATCAGTAAGAGCATGACTACGTTCTGGATCTTTACCATCATTAGGATAATAGGTAATACCAACACTAAAAGTTTGATCATGTATTTTTACCCGGATCCAGTATCGTTCGAAATCATCCTTTTTTGAGCTCAAAAGGTCGTCATTAAGTACTTTGCAATTTTCAGAAGAAACAAAAAATCCAATTCCCCCACCTTCAGATTTAGCGCGGTTTTTATCGTACCATTTATGATTATTACTTTTAACAATAAGAGGACGTTTGTCATTAAAAAATGTTTCCGCAACAGCCATTAATGTTATGTCATTTGTTTCTAGCAAATGTTTCAGCTCTTGCTGCTTACCTTTACCTAAAATATTTACATTGTTATAGGCAAATGTAACACTGAGATTGTCATTTTGGCATTTAGCCTTACGGCTGCGTTTAGACCTTCGGTGTCGGGTTTTTATATCATTGGGGAATGAGGCTTTATCTTTCGTGACATTGGGGGATAAGGCAGACTCATTGCCGTTACTCTAATAATGGGTAAGTACGGAAAACCTATTATTTCCAAGAAAGTCATTGTTCTGATGATCGTATTCAAAAGACTGGACACGATTAACATAATGATTGTCCTTCATGACATTTAAATGACCCCTTGCAGGAGGAATATCATTGGGTTTATTGGGGCATCGTGATTGTTTGTGTCCAATTGTTTTACAAAAATGGCAGCGTACAGCAGTGGGGTGCCAACATGTGGAAGGGAGATGACTCTCCCCACATTTATTGCAGGACATGTCCTTATTGGTGCTGTTACGATTATGTGTATAAGTGTTCATGGATCTTGGCTTGTTGGTGTTGATATAGCCTGATTGTCTTGTGTTGGTTGATGTGGGTGTTGAAGTTGTCGTTGGAGGGTTCTTTGGTTGATGTTCCTTGCGGCTGGTCTTAGTTTGAGGGCTGTTCCTTTTGTTACGGGGTAAAGTGACATCGTCACATGTGGTTTTCAGTTTGAGGTTTTTAACCAAACTATTGGTTCCAGCGTCACTTAGATGCAGTTTATCTGGACATAGGTATCCGTTATTGATAGACTCGTCGCGATGCTTGAAGTTAATGTCATTGTCATTGAATGTTACAGCCTCATCCTGGCAGTGGCATAACAAGAAACCGTTAAGCTGGTTGATTCGTTCTTGCACAGTCGGATCATTTAGACGGGGAGTTACACTGGATATAGTGAGGCTATTGCAAAGCTGTTTTGCTGTCTTAATGAGAAGGGCATAATCCTCAGATATAAGTTTCACATCGTCTCTTTCAGCGCAATCGTTACTGGCAACTTGCAGATAGATGTGGTCATACTTCTCTTTTTTCTTGAGAAGTTTGTTGTGTATGGTAGCTATTTTGCCTCCACGAATACAGTCCACTTCGGTATCAATGAGCTTTGTTTCATCTATGTCCCGGATAATCGATGAACCTATTATGAGGGATTTGAGGTTTGGCTGCGGGGCATGCTTCACTTCCTTTAGTTTGTTCACGGTTTTTCTAAGGTCATTCAATTCTTTATGAAGTTCCTCATTATCTGCAGTTTTACGAGCGAGTTGTTTAACAAGTTCACTATTTGTATCGCTCAACTGTTTCAAGGTGTTTACTGTGTTCTGTATGTCCAAGACAGTTGACATGAGGTTATTAAGGTCAATATTGCTATTCGCCTTAGCATTACGATTCAATGTGCGTGTTGGATTTGGCTGTGACATGGTTTTGGCGGGACGTCCTCTCTTCCTTTGCGTGGTGTGTGGGGTCCTGGGGGTCTTGGGATGTCGTTTAGCAGTAATACGTGTTGAACGGCGCGCAGGTTGGGGGGATGTTCCTGGAGAATCAGGAGGCTGAGAGTCAGGAATCATCATGACAACATTATCTACACGCCGAGGGCTATCCTGTCCCGATGCTATAAGTCCATCGTTAAGTGAAATTGTATTCTGATTTGTGTCAGAATCTGATGATACTGTAGAGTCATTGAGACAATTTCCATGTGTACAAATATGCTCTGGTTCAACATCTGCCAAAGCCTGTGTTTGTGTATCTGGCAGCAACTGGGTCAATGTCATTGTAGGGTTTTCCATTGTAAATACCTGTTAGTTCAAATTTGGGCAATTACTGTAGGACCTGTTAGTTCTAATTCAGGTAATTACTATAGCTTTGCTAGCCTATGTTGGCTGTAATAATTGGCTATGTTATAAAAAGGTCTATCCTGCTTTATGCACTTAAAATGGTTCCTAGTTGATCAACTAAAATCCAGATATTTCATCCACTAAAAACTCTTTCAAGAGTTGTTTAAAATATATCCAGTTTTGATCACAGTGTTCTTCAAGCGTTCATGTATACCACTGTAGCTTTGAATTTATACTAGAAAGTCTATTTCAGTGAAAAAACTAGCTTTTTTGTGGAGCAAATATTTCATTGACTTCTCTCAAGTGGTGCTGCCATCTATATATGTTTTGTTGCTGTCTGATCATCAAATCAAATTGTTGTTATTTAAAGATGTCAGTCAAATCTGGTGAAACAGCACAACATTTACCTAAATAGCACGAGTACATATTATGTAACTCATTCATAATATTTCATGCATCAGGTATTAAGGCTTAGGGGATTAACTTTTACACATAAACTGAACTGACAGATGTGCACGCTTACATGTACAACTTCCAGGATTGTAAGAATTCAAAACTTGTTGATAGCCATATTTTCCTGAATGTGACATCGATATATTATGGCATTTATGAGTGGTAAAACATGAAAAAAGCATTTTCATTTAAAATTAGCATATGATTTGAATTGATGCCAAGTAATGTATTAGTTAACTGTATCCGTTTTACATCCATTGCAGTTGGCTACATTATAAGACAAGGCATTCACATGCAAAATGTCAACACCTGCCATTTGTTACAGACACCAACTGCCAAACACCAACTGCCAAATGATAAACACCAACCACTGAACACCGTCCACAAAAAAGTTTGAGACCATAACAATATGTCACCACTTGAGGTGGTGACATAAAAATGATCATGGAAAATTGTATTTTTTTAAAAAAGTAGGAACTTCTGAGGTTATTAGAAAATTGGAAGACAAGGAAGGATTCTGGGAAGGATATTAGGGTTATAAATTGCAATGAAACTAAAACAAAACATTCTTTTTCTCAAATATCACAGTGTATATTCAAATCACAAATACGATATCATACAATTACAATAAGGGTCTAGTGCACTTTCCATTATGATATCCCCATGAACAAAATGAATCATTTTTAGGTGTAACATAAAGAATTCAATGTCACATAATACTGTGGAAAATATTTGGGCGTTTGGACCCACATGGGCTGAGGTTGAGGTCATTTAGTTCAGCAAGGGTGTATTGACTTGCCATTGAATGGGCTCCATTGACTTAACATGTGGATATCATCAATTCCAATAGAGGCCATTGGTTTCTATTGATTTTCACAAAAATACCTAAAATACACTATGACCTGAATCGATTGCAAATTAAATAATTTCACAGTATGACACAAATGGTATATCACATCAGATGTGCAAATATAAAGTTTGCAATCGATTCAGGTCATACTTCAAATTAAAAGATTATACATTTTTTCCATCATTTTTTCCTACAAAATGGCTATAGAAAAATGCTTCAAAAGCAACATTTATACTAATGAAATCCCATACAACTTTCTAAATCCAAAGATTATACTGTTATGTTTCATTAATTAATAACATATTTGGATAATATGTTGGGATGTGTAGGATGCAAATGGATTTTGACAGACACAAAAAGACTTCTTGGTTTGGCATCTCTACCCCTGTACTGTACACTTTATGATTGAATATTGGCCCTAATAAGTGGCCCATTCATCAATACAGTGCTGAATATAGGTCAACAAGATACTAGTGTACATATAAATGTAATAATACCTATAGCTAGGTCTGAATATTAAACTCAAGCCAAATAGAGCCACCACAATATTTCAACCTTTGTAACCCTTGCAAAAAGATTTTCTTGCAATAAAAATGTAAAAATAGCTTAGGGTACTTGTAAGCCAATTTGATTTTAAGGTAGACATGTCTCGATATTTTTCAATAATTTTCATGATTATAAATACCGATAATCAATGAAAGGGACAATATTTTCACATTTGTAATTGTATGTGTATGCATGGTCCATGTGTATGTTACCATAATTCTTTATATCCACTTAAAATGTAAAAAATTTTGCCCAATTTATAAATATCAGATAATTTATTCATCACCAAAATTAGTAAAAATTATCAACATGCAGAACTACCTTAAAGAGTTTAATCTCTCACTCAGTCACAATCATGTCAACCAAAACTGTACTCGTGTTACATAATATAGGATTATACAGCTTACCATACTGTGCAATCTATATAACATCCACACTGACATCTTTACAGAATCATATATAATTTTTGAATATAAACTAACTCAACCCAATAAGGCGAGTACTAAAGAATTTACTTACCTGCCATCTAAAAATCTGCTTGGAACTACCATTGGATTACCATTGGATTCCTCCAAGAGAATATTCTAGGGCGCATTCAGCTTACATAATTTGAGAAATTAATGGCATACGTAAAACCTATTTAAAATAGCATTTATCATATTCAAAAGCGTTGAGCATCAATGATTCCCAGCCCTATGAAGTTTGAAAAATAAAAATACCTGGGTGTTAATCCATGGATTATCTTTGAAAACGAGAAATATATTTTTGGATTACATGGTGTAATCTTAAAGTAAACAAAATGTTTTAAAGTGTATTGATGTTTTTTGGATGAAAAACATAAGCGAAATTCATGAAAAAAATCCCCCGATTCATTCTACAAACAACTCGCCCTCCTTTAAGAGGAAGAATTCAGTATCCCGTATGTTCACTATCCCCTCCCGACCCCAATTATTTAACTATGCTCCAATGTGTTTCATTTCTGTGTTTGATAAATGCAATCAATATGATAGTTCTATATTACTCATTATTACCGTAGTGCAAATGTGCGAAAGGTTTAATTTTAATCTAATTGAATTATGTTAATTAGTTGCTTGGATGGTAGATTGTTTGTTTGCATGCTTGTTAGCACAATTGATTCCTTGATTGGCCTTTTATTTGCTAACATTCTTTCTTTCTTGCTTTGCTGTTTCCTTGGTTTCTTGCATTAGAGTTTGATTAGTTACTTGCTTGGTTGGTTTGTCGGTTGTTTGCTTGCTTGCTTCATTTGTAAGTTGCATGGTTTGTTTTTTACTTCCTTAGTTTCCTGCTTGCTTGGATGGTCGTGTGCTTGGTTGCTCGGTTGGTAACTTGCGTGGTTGGTTGCTAAATTATTTATTTGAACTTTCTAAATATCCATAGGCGTAGCCAAGGAGGGGGAGATTGCGAAAACCAATAAAATTTAAACCCTGAGAAAGAGGACTGAAAGAGCTTTAAAATGCTTTTTATTTGAAGCTTCTAGCTCGCTTTGGAAAGAGCTTGGATCCAGTTTTTGTAAAATTCAATATAAAATTTTTTTGGCTTGTTTATGTCACAATCGCACCCTCCCCCTGTTTATGTCACAATCGCACCCCCCCCCCCGACTGAAAACGAATCTTTTTGGCAATCGCACTCCCCCCCCCTGACTGTAAGCTGGCTACGCCCCTGATATCTGTTATTGGCCATCAATAAACTATATTTATATTGTGAGCACTTATGGGTTTTGATAACAATAGGCTTTATACATGTATAATGAATCAAATTTCATATTGTATCATGTTGGCTAAATCGTGTCAAGGGAAGAATTAAGAACTGAAATCGGGGTTTTCTTAGTTTGAGCCAGGGAACAAAATGTAATCAGACAGACGGATTAATTAATATTTGTTTTGATAAATGAGTATTATAGGTTATATTTATTTTTATTTTTATTTATTTATTTAGACACTACACTATTTGTAACAGTGGCACTCTCAATGGGTGCGTCTATACTCAAAAATTAAAACTTTATATACATGGCTTAAAGAAACTTAACTAAAATCACTTTAAAAACATTCATTATGCATTAAAAAATATAAAATCAGAAGATGTTCTTCAGTAATATTTTATTTAATCTATCTACCGTGACGCTTATATCATGTCCACCTAAAATCCTGGCCTCATCGCCTACTATCCATTTTAATTTATCGCTTGTTTCTGACTCAAGGTATACTTCTAAAACTGGACTAGGGACTTGATTTTTCATTTCCAAATAAAACTTGTTTCTCGCAGTTTCATAAGAGGGGCATTCAAAAAGTCTGTGCTCCAGGGTTTCGATTTTATCTGGGCACTCTTCGCAGTAGGGTGAAATGGGTGGGTTTAGATTTTTCCATTTGAACTTACCAGCACGTGCTAAAAATTTTATGCGTGACAACTGGAAGTCATAATCATTATAAAGGTATGTTGCTCTTCCCTTTTTTGGGATCAGATTAAGTTGATGGTATTTGTTGAGACTACTTTTTTCCAAAATACCCTCATTTATGTACTTTTTTGAGAGATCTAATATCTGTTTATGGTAACTGTACGAAATATTTTCGGCAGTTTCAGAGATACCGCTTAATTGCATCAGTTTGAGGGTAGCATCAATATGTTTAACATAGTTCCAGTGGTTCCCTTTGCCCATTTCAAACCTTTTCTCCATGCAAGCTAATAGTCTTGCATTAAGTGAAGTTGGTTTTTTAGATTTGATATAAATATAGTACTCAACTTGTCTTTTTAAAACCGTATATTTCATGGGGGTCCAACCCAAATCAGACACAATGGCTTCGTATGCTGGTGTGCCTTTAATATCAAATATAGCGCGGCCTGCATTATATTGCATTGACTTAAGGCGCGTTTCATAAGATTTATTGTCCGAAGCCCATATAGCACATGAGTGAAGGACACTGGATAAGAGTTTACTTTTATAAAGTTGGTTTCCAAAGTCAATTCGTTTAACATTCATATGTCTATTTAATGTGTATTTGATATATCCATTAAGCTTTTTTGCTTTTAGGGCTGTTTCATTCATGTGGTCATTGTCTCTAAGGTTTTTGTGGAAAATATAACCTAAATATTTGTAGGAATGCACTTCACTCAGTTTCAAGTCTCCAAATGACCATTCTTTTGTCTTGTCTGTTTTCTTCCCAATAACCATAACTTTCGATTTTTTCTGACTAAAGTTAAAGCCCCATTTGACTGCGAATTCATTAACAATTTTGAGCATGGCATTCAGTTCATTTTCAGTGCTAGCAAAGAGGACAATGTCATCTGCAAACATGAGTGTTGGGATAAGTTGTTCTTCAAATTTTATACCCACTTTTGCATTTATCAGCTGGTCATATAGATCAGTCATTATGATGGAGAACAGAGTTGTTGATAAGACACAACCCTGTTTAACTCCATATGGTTGAGTGAACCAATCTGTTTCATTTCCGTTTCCGAAGGCAACTTTAGTCTTATTATCATGATACATTTGCCGTAATAGTCTCCACAACTTACCTCTAACTCCTTTTTTCCAAAGTGCCAAAAACATCCGGTCGCGGTCGATTACATCATACGCTTTTGAAATGTCTAAAAATGCCAGGTATGTGCTTTTTCGTTCACTTTTTCT